TGAATGGTCCATAAGTGACCACAAATGACCTCCAGAACCTCATAAATGACCACAAATGGTCCATAAATGACCATGAGTGACCTCCAGAACCCCAAAAATGACCAAGAATGGTCCATAAATGACCATGAATGACCACAAATGACCTGCAGAACCTCAAAAGTGACCATGAAGGTCCTCCAGAACCCCATAAATGACCACAGATGACCTCCAGAACTCCATAAATGACCATGAATGGTCTTCAAAACTCCATCAATGACCAGGAATGGTCCATAAATGACCATAGATGGTCCATAGATGACCATGGATGGTCACCAGAACCCCAAAAATGACCATGAATGGTCCATAAATGACCACGAGTAACCATGAATGACCTCCAGGACCCCATAAATGACCACGAATGGTGTCCAGAACCCCATAAATGACTATGGATGGTCCATAAATGACCACAAAGGTCCTTCAAGCCCCATAAATGACCTCAGAACCCCATGAATGAACCTCCAGGACCCCATGGATGACCACGAATGGTCTCCAGAACCTCATAAATGACCACGAATGGTCCATAAATGAGCACGAGTGACCATGAGTGACCTCCAGGACCCCATGAATGACCACGAATGGTCTCCAGAACCCCATAAATGACCATGAATGGTCCATAAATGACCACGAGTGACCTCCAGGACCCCATGAATGACCACGAAAGGTCCATAAGTGACCATGGATGGTCCATAGATGACCATGGATGGTCTCCAGAACCCCATAAATGACCACGAATGGTCCATGAATGACCATGTATGGTCCATACATGACCATGAATGACCTCCAGAACCTCAAAAGTGACCATGAAGGTCCTCCAGAACCCCACAAATGACCTCCAGAACCCCATGGATGACCACCAAGACCCCATAAATGACCACGAATGGTCCATAAATGACCACGAGTGTCCATGAATGACCTCCAGGACCCCATGAATGACCATGAATGGTCCATAAGTGACCACGAATGGTCTTCAAGACCCTAAAAGTGACCATGAAGGTCCTTCAAAACTCCATAAATGACCACGAATGGTCCATAGATGACCACGAGTGACCTCCAGAACCCCAAAAATGACCATGAACACCCCAAAAGTGACCACCAACCTTCTGGGATGGCGGCCACGGCCAGCGCCACGGCGATCTTGAAGTAGTAGATGGGTTCAGAACCCCAAAGTGACCACAAAGGTCCATAAATGACCATAAATGACCATGAATGACCTCCAGAACCCCATAAATGACCACAAATGGTCCACAAATGACCATGAATGACCTCCAGGACCCCAAAAGTGACCACGAATCATCTCCAGAACCCCATAAATGACCACAAATGGTCTCCAGGACCCCATAAATGACCATGACTGACCTCCAGAACCCCATAAATGACCAAGAATGGTCCATAAATGACCATGGATGATCACAAATGACCTGCAGAACCTCAAAAGTGACCATGAAGGTCCTCCAGAACCCCATAAATGACCTCCAGAACCCCATAAATGACCACAGATGACCTCCAGGACCTCATAGATGACCACGAGTGACCTCCAGAACTCCATAAATGACCATGAATGGTCTTCAAAACTCCATCAATGACCACGAATGGTCCATAAGTGACCATGAATTGTCCATAGATGACCATGGATGGTCACCAGAACCCCATAAATGACCATAAATGACCCCAAAAGTGACCACTGACCCTCGGGGATGGCGGCCACGGCCAGCGCCACGGCGATCTTGAAGTAGTAGATGGGTCCAGAACCCCAAAGTGACCACAAATGGTCCACAAATGACCTCCAGAACCCCATAAATGACCATGAGTGACCTCCAGAACCTCAAAAGTGACCATGAAGGTCCTTCAAAACCCCACAAAAGATCTTCAAAACCCCATAAATGACCACCAATGGTCCATAAATGACCACAAGTGACCTCCAGAACCCCATAAATGACCACGAATGGTCTTCAAAACTTTAAAAGTGACCATGAATGGTCTCCAGAACCCCATAAATGACCATGAATGGTCCATAAATGACCACGAGTGACCATGAATGACCTCCAGGACCCCATGAGTGACCACGAATCATCTCCAGAACCCCATAAATGACCATGGATGGTCCATAAATGACCACAGATGGTCTTCAAGACCCCAAAAGTGACCATGAAGGTCCTTCAAAACTCCATAAATGACCACGAATGGTCCATAGATGACCATGAATGACCTCCAGAACCTAAAAATGACCATGAATGGTCCATAAATGACCACAAATGACCTCCAGAACCTCAAAAGTGACCATGAAGGTCCTTCAAAACCCCAAAGTGACCATGAGTGACCTCCAGGACTCCATAAATGACCACGAATGATCCATGAATGATCTTCAAAACCCCAAAAGTGACCATGGATGGTCACCAGAACCCCATAAATGACCACGAGTGACCTCCAGGACTCCATAAAAGACCACAAATGGTCCATAAATGACTGTGAATGATCTCCAGAACCTCATGGATGACCTCCAGGACCCCATAAATGACCACGAATGGTCTCTAGAACCCCATAAATGACCTCCAAAACCCCAAAAATGACCACGAACACCCCAAAAGTGACCACCAACCTTCCGGGATGGCGGCCACGGCCAGCGCCACGGCGATCTTGAAGTAGTAGATCGGTTCAGAACCCCATAAATGACCTCCAGAACCTCATAAATGACCCCAAATGGTCCATAGATGACCATGTATGGTCCATAAGTGACCATGGATGACCTCCAGAACCCCAAAAGTCACCACGAATGGTCTCCAGAACCCCATAAATGACCACGAATGGTCCATAAATGACCTTCAGAACCTCATAAATGACCACGAGTGACCTCCAGGACCTCATAAATGACCACAAATGACCATAAATGACCACAAATAAATGGCCACTGACCCTCGGGGATGGCGGCCACGGCCAGCGCCACGGCGATCTTGAAGTAGTAGATGGCGCCGCGGATCCAGGAGCCGCCGTGCACGGGGTCGTTGAAGTGGCCGATGTTGATGGCCCAGACGGCCACGCAGATGAGCGAGATCACCTTGGACAGCTGCTCCCCGAACTCGTCCAGCTTCTGCTGCAGCGGCGTCTTGTCCTGCTCCGTGGCCGCCATCTCGTCCCGGATCTTGCCGATCTCGGTGTTCACCCCGGTGGCCACCACGATGCCCACGGCCTTGCCCGCCCCGATGTTCGTGCCCTGCAGGGGGAGACAGACCCAAAATTTGAGTTTTTCACCCCAAAATTTGATGGTTTGACAAAAAATTTGAGTTTTTTACGCTAAAATTTGAGGGTTTTACCCCAAAATTCGAGTATTTTATGCCAAAATTTGGTGGTTCCACCAAAAAAAAATTGGAGGTTTTTACCCCAAAATTTGGTGGTTTGACCTCGAAAAAACCCCAAATTTGGTGGATGGACAAAAAAAATTGGAGGTTTTTACCCCAAAATTTGAGGGTTTTACCTCAAAATTTGGTGGTTTTTACCTCGAAAAAAACCCAAAATTTGGTGGTTTGATCCCAAAATTTGAGGTTTTTAGGGCAAAATTTGGCTGGTTTACCTAAAAGAACCTCCAGTTTGGTGGTTTGGTGGTTCCATCAAAAAATTTAAGATTTTTACCCCAAAATTTGGTGGTGTCACCCAAATTTGGTGGTTTTGTCCCAAAATTGGGGGTTTTATCCCAAAATTGGGGATTTTACACCCAAATTCTCCGTGTTCACCCCCGTGGCCACCACGATGCCCACGGCCTTGCCCGCCCCGATGTTCGTGCCCTGTTGGGGAAGACGGACCCGAAATTTGGTGGTTTGACCCCAAAAAACCCAAAATTTGAGGTTTTTACCCCAAAATTTGGTGGTTTGATCCCAGAATTTGGTGGTTTCACAAAAAAGTTTGAGGTTTTTACCCCAAAATTTGAGGGTTTTATGCCAAAATTTGAGGTTTTTACCCCAAAATTTGAGTTTTTTACTCCAAAATTTGAGTTTTTTACTCCAACACCAAAATTTGGTGGTTTAACTGAAAAATTTGAGTTTTTTACCCCAAAATTTGGTGGTTAGACCCCAAAATCGTGGATTTCACCCCCATGGCCACCACGATGCCCACGGCCTTGCCCGCCCCGATGTTCGTGCCCTGCAAGGGGGAGAGGAATCCAAAATTTGGTGGATGGACAAAAAAATTTGAGTTTTTTAACCCAAAATTTGAGGTTTTTACCCCAAAAATGGGTGGTTTCATAAAAAAATTGAGTCTTTTACCCCAAAATTTGAGGTTTTCACCCCAAAATTTGGTGGTTTGATCCCAGAATTTGGTGCTTCCACCAAAAATTTGAGTTTTTTGCCCCATAATTTGAGTTTTTCACCCCAAAATTGAGTGGTTTGACCTCAAAATAACCCCAGAATTTGGTGGTTCGACAAAAAAAAAGAGTTCTTCACCCCAAAATTTGGTGGTTCCACCAAAAAGTTGGACTTTTTTACCCCAAAATTTGGTGGTTTGACCTCAAAATTTGAGTGTTTCACCAAAAAATTTGGCGGTTTCACAAAAAAGTTAGAGTTTCTTACCCCAAAATTTGAGGTTTTCACCCAAAAATTTGAGGTTTTTACCCCAACATTTGGTTGACTTACCTATAAAAACCTCAGTTTGGTGGTCTGACGCAAAATTTGGTGGTTCCACCAAAAAATTGCAGGATTTTACCCAAAAATTTGGTTGATTTACCTCAAAAAAAGCCCAAAATTGGGTGATTTGACCTCAAAAAAAGCCCAAAATTTGGTGATTTGACCCCAAAATTTGAGGGTTTCACCCCAAAATTTGGTGGTTTGATCCAGAACTCCCTGCTTTTACCCCAAACCAGGAACACGCAGGGGACACCAATGATGTCACACGGGTGACATTGATGACATCACACAGGTGAGACCCATGACATCATACAGGTGACATAAATGACATCATACGGCTGACACAGATGACGTCACTGATGATGTCACATAGGTGCCACTGATGACGTCACTCACCGAGAAGAGCACGTTCTTCTTGTCCTTATTGGTGTCACTCACACACACTGATGACGTCACACACTGATGACATCACACACAGGTGACACCGATGACGTCACACACACAGATCTCACACTGATGACGTCACAGATGACGTCACCGATGACGTCACTCACCGAGAAGAGCATGTTCTTCTTGTCCTGGTTGGTGTCACTGACACACACTGATGACGTCACACTGATGATGTCACACCCACAGATATCACACTGATGACATCACACATGTGACACGGAGACATTGATGACGTCACACATCGATGACATCATTGATGACGTCACTCACCGAGAAGAGCATGTTCTTCTTGTCCTGGTTGGTGTCACTCACACACCAATGATGACATCACACACAGGTGACACCGATGACGTCACACACACAGATATCACACTGATGACGTCACACATTGATGACATCATTGATGACGTCACTCACCGAGAAGAGCGTGTTCTTCTTGTCCTGGTTGGTGTCACTCACACAGTGATGACGTCACACACTGATGATGTCACACACACAGATCTCACATTGATGACGTCACACATCGATGACATCATTGATGACGTCACTCACCGAGAAGAGCATGTTCTTCTTGTCCTGGTTGGTGTCACTCACACAGTGATGACGTCACAGTGATGACATCACACAGGTGACATTGACAGGTGACATTGATGACATCACACAGGTGACAC